AAAAGATTCCTGGTGCTATTTCTGATGTCTCTTATTTCTTCTACCCATACCCAATCTATTGGCATGTCCTGTTAGCTGTGTTTCCACAGCCTGTCCACTAAGTAAGGATGGTCTCATCCATCTCTCCTTAGTGTCTGGATTGTCCCGGTGGCATTCTGACAGACCACCCTACTCTTGTCATTCTTACTATAGTAGACACAGGGTGTAGCTAAAACACAAGTCCAATCATATTGCTCCTGCCAATATGCTCTGGTGACTTCCTGTCACTCCATAAAGAGCTACAAACTCATGGCGGCTTCTATGCCCCACATAATCTGACTCCTGCTGCTTCTGAAGATTCATCTTCTAACCTTTGCTCATTCTGCTCCAGCCATAGTGGTTTCTTTTTTGCATTTGCTGTTCTCTGCCTGAAACTCTCTCCCTCTGTCCACCTGGCTTGTTCCCACACATCCCTACATTGTCTGTGTAATGGTCTTCTTTCTTTATAAGGCTGTCTTTGACTACCTTACTGAAAACAGCAGCCCAACTGCCCTTTCCTCTTTTCTTCTCATCTTCCTCGATAGTGTAGGTCACCATTTTTTTGTGCTATGTCATTTTCTTATTTATTATCTTTTTTCCCCAAAATATAAATTCCTAGGGACTTTTATTCATATCCATGACCTCAAGGTTGAGAACCTGCTGGAACGCAGGTTGAAATAAACAAAAGTTTATGTATTTAATTTGAGGCAGAGTCTTGCTCTGTTGCCTGGGCTAGAGTGCAGGGGGCATCATCATAGCTCACTGCAACCTCAAACTCCTAGGCTCAAGCTACCTCCTGCTTCACCCCCCCCCCAAAGTTCTAGGATTACAGCATGAGCCACTGTGCCTGGCCTGAATAAACAAAAGTTTAGATGAACAGTGCATGCATGTACAGACACTGGGGGGCATGTCTGTTGTTGGACCAGCTGAAGTTCCCTGAATGCAGACAAATTCAGGAACAAAGGGAAGGATTATCCAGGATGAAGCAGGAGACATTGCTGTAAGTGAGATCACTGACCCAGTCCTGAGGGACATTCAGGACCCACCCTGAGCGACAAGCTCAAAAGAGACTGAGGAATGAATTCAGGATATAAGTCAACCTGTCTTACCTCAGGTTGTCATATCAAAATACTATAGACTGGGTTCAACAACAGACAATTATTCTCTCACAATTTTGGAAATCTTACATTATATTCATAGGTGTTAAGTTCAAAATCAAGCTTCAGCTAATTCAGTTCCTGATGAGTGTCCTCTTCTTGACTTGCTAATTCTATCGTGAGACCCCTCCTCTCATGACTTCTTCTACCTTGCAAAGACCTCATCTTGAAATAGCATTACATTAGGGTTAGGGCTTCAGGGTATGAGTTTTGAAGGAAGACATTCAGTTCATAATGCAACCAAACCAAGATTGCCAGAAATGATGCAGGACAAATGATCTGATCCCTTAGTTAAGTTGCAAGGAAAACTTTAATACTAAAAATAGAAAAAAATAGCCAGGCATTGCAGTGGGCACCTGTAGTCCCAGCTGTTCCAGAAGTTGAGGCAAGAGGATTGCTTGAGCCCAAGAATTTGAGATTGCTGTGAGCTATGATGACAGCACAGCACTCAACCCCAGGGCAGCAAAGTGAAACATATATATATATATTTTTTTTTTTTTTTTTTTTTGAGGGCTTAAACTCTGAATTTTCTTAAGAGCACAACCTAAAACTTTCTATTTTCTTTTACAGGTTATGTGAAATGTATTTCAATTATGAGACAAAACGTGCATTAGAAACACTTCGAGAAGAAAAGCCTGAGTTGACTGTTGTCTTTGAGCCTTCTTGGTAGGGATGGAAACAGGGCTGCTCAAAGATGACATGGTTTGGCCCTTACCATCCAGCTGTCCACAAGTGGAGTGAACCTCATCCATCCAGGGTCAAGACCACAGCTCTGTGATGCTTCTGGTCCAGTGTCAGAGAACAAGAGTTTTCTGATGATGCCTTCTTGTAGAGAACCTGAGCATTTCTTTTACCTCTGGGCAAAGATACCCTGGCAATAAAATCATGCAGATAATGCTGTTCTCATCACAGTCCCTCAGTCAGAGGGTGTTCCTCCTGGGGACCTCATGTCATTAGCTCATTCACTCAACATTTTTCTATCTTTCCTTTTATCTTCCTACTCTCCTTACCATTTTTCTTCTTTATTCTGTTTACTTTTGCTCAGATCATCATTCCTGTTATCTGACAACACAGAACTAGTTGACTATATATTATGTTGCAATTTTTTTGGCAGCTACTTATTTATTTTTAATTCTTTGTAATGGTTATGTTTTCTAATAAGAATAATTCATGCTTATTGTAGCCAGTTGAAAATTCAGAAATATAAAAAACTTTGTTTTATATTTGTTGAGTTTAATTCTTTCTTTTTCTTTCTTTCTTTTTTTTTTTTTTTGAGACAGAGCCTCAAGCTGTCCTCCTGGGTAGAGTGTTGTGGCATCACAGCTCACAGCAACTCCAACTCCTGGGCTCAAACGATTCTCCTGCCTCCATCTCCCAAGTAGCTGGGACCACAGGCGCCCGCCACAACGCCTGGCTATTTTTTGGTTGCAGCCATTATTGTTGTTTGGCAGGTCCAGGCTGGATTCGAACCCGCCAGCTCAGGTGTACGTGGCTGGTGCCTTAGCCGCTTGAGCCACAGGCGCCAAGCCAGTTCTTTCCTTTTCTTAAATTTAAAAGCAGAGTGCCGGCTCAGCGCCTGTGGCTCAAGTGGCTACAGCGCCAGCCACATACACTTGAGCTAGCAGGTTCGATTCCAGCCCCAGCTTGCCAAACAACAATGATGGCTGCAATCAAAAAAAAAAAAAGAGCCAGGGTATTGTGGCAGGCGTCTATAGTCCCACATGGTTCAAAAGTTGTCCAGTGTTGATTAATTGCTTCTCTGCCAATGGACAACTTGTGAACCATGTGGAATTGCTCAGGATGGAAATATTCCTTCCCCTGTACAGTGAGCCATTCGGAATTCTGCTACTCGGACTGTGGCCTATGAACTGTTGATGGAAGGAGCTTGTATACAAGAATGTAAATCAATCACATTAGTAAACATGCTTTTTAGATAAGCTGACTTTTTAAAAAAATAGAAGACTGTCTTAATCAAGGAAGCAGGAGGTGATTTATATTCTGGTGCAAACTCTCTTTTGGGTAGTGCTGGTGTAGAGATTTGCTTTCTGTATCTTAGTGAACTTTTGCAGACTGCCTCCCTGCTGCAAACACTTTGACAAACTCAATAAATAACAATTAAAAACACAGGTGAGCTTGAAGAGAGAAAGAGAACCTCTGGACATTAGGAGGTTCATAAAATTGTCTTGATATGCTTAAGAGGTTACCCCCCATTGGCTCAGAGGAGTACCTAGATAAATAATATGACTATTTATTTGGAAAAAAATCCTTGAGGGTTTCCACACTATTAGAACTGAAAAATGGGCCAGGGGTCTGTAATCTGAGCACTCTGGGAAGACGACATGGGTGGATTGCTTGAGCCCAGAAGTTGGAGACCAGCCTGAGCAAGAGTGAGACTCCACCTCTACTAAAAATAGAAAAGTTATCTGAGCACTATGGCGGGCACCTGTAGTTCTAGCTACATGGAAGGCTGAGGCAAGAGGATTGCACATGCTCAAGAGTTTGAGGTTGCTGAGTTATGATGACACCTCTATCCAGGCTGACAGAGTGAGACTCTGTCTCAAAGAAAAAAAATAACTAAAAAAATGAATAAAGTTTCTGTGTAGAATTATCAATTATAATCATCAGCATGAAGTTGGAAAAAATCATTCTTTTCCACCACAATAGTAAAGGTTGGATTGGGCATGAAGCACCAGTGGATAATAACTAAAGCTAAAGGACATTTTAATGAGGGACAGGATAGTTGCCTGAAAGTTTCTCCATAGATGATTAATCAGCTACACAAGACAAATAGTAACTATCCACCGGGTAGAAATTGGACAATACATTGACCACATAGTGAAAAATAAGATTAATGAGGGCAGATGGGCATTTCCTTTCAGGTGAGAAACCTGAAAACCAATATTACCTATGTGGGATTATGGATGAAAATGAATAACCAGAATCTAGTCATCAGGATAGATCAGACAAACTCCAAATGGGGAAATTCTGCTAAAAGGGGAGGAGGATAGTATTCTTCATAAATGTAAATGCCAATGTTACAGTGAATAAATCTGGTGGGGTTCATGAAAGTGTTCTTTATATTATTCTTGCAACTTTTCTGTACATGTGGCATTATTTCCAAAGGGAAAGTTAAAAATTAAAACAGCATTCCTAAGTACCTACAATTCAAAATGTTGTAAAAATTATCAGGTATCTGGAATAAACCTATCAAAAATTGTGCAAAAATCATACAAAAGAAAACTGAAATAAAGGGAGAGATGTGTCATACTTACAGATAGGAAGATTGAACAGCATGGCAATGCCAGTGCCCCTGACAATAAATTGGAGTCCATGTAATTGAAATGAACGTGCTGAAAAGGATTTTTATGGGATTAAGCAAGATGATTCTTTAAAGTACTTTGTTGAGGTTTGACTGACATCCAAAAAGCTGTATTTAGTTAATGTTTACAACTTGACAAGTTTGGAAATGAATATATACCTAAGAAGCCATCACAGAGGCTCGGTGCCTGTGGCTCAAGTGCCTAAGGCGCCAGCCACATACACCTAAGGTGGCGGGTTCGAATCCCCAGCCCGGGCCCACCAAACAACAATGAGGCTGCAACCAAAAAATAGCCAGGCATTGTGGCGGGCGCCTGTGGTCCCAGCTACTTGGGAGGCTGAGGCAGGAGACTCGCTTGAGCCCAGGAGT